AGGGAAGAAACTTATTCTCTGTCCTGAGCCATATGTTGCAAGCAAGTTACGACAGCTGCTTTTGAGTTAAGACTGTTAAAGTTACCCTAACTTTTCATAAAGTGACTAACTTTGAGAAGCCCTAACTCAAAAAAACTGCTGCAAACCTCCCAAGTGCTATCATCCATAAGAGTTAGTGCATAGGTTAGGTTTAACACAATTCAAGTTCACAAGGTAGCTAATAAAACATTGTTCCACGTGTATGTTTGAATATTACTTAAACATCATTTAGCCCTCCCTAAATGCATACACTCCTGAATCACATTAGCTAGATGCTAGCAACCTACGCATGGAAATTCTATTTATTCTCACTCTTAACACTCACACTTTAAGGAAATCCATATTTTTTGCAAAAGTAAAGTTCTGCAGTTTAATTTCGGGATCACGAAGATAAGCTGCAGACCATAACAGCATATTATATACTTCTTGGAACAAAATGTACACACCATAATAACAAGGCAAGCTTCATATAACTGAAAACTAGCTATTTCAACACTCAAAGTATCAAAACAAAAGCATCCAATTAAAATGTTTTTCCAGCACGCTTGATCTGAATGCCATACCAATGAATGGAAAATTGCCTGTGCATCAGGTATTTTCAAATACAGGTATTTTCAAATACAGGTTCTGAAGTATGATAAGTGGGGGAAGACAGAAAAGAGAATAGAGAATGAAGACTAATAACTCTTCACAAGTCAGCATATTTCTTTTTCCTAATGTGGTTGCAAAGTCTTGAATCTAGATTCTTTTTCCTTTGGAATACAGGAGGCCCAAGATACACTGGGAAAGAAAGGAACCTTGCATCCTTGTCGGATGCCAGAACAGTCTTCACTGCGCTCCATATATAGCTCACAGAACAGAGACAACACCACTTTTCTACTGGTGGTGGAAAGGACTATTCTCAAAATATGCAAAAAAAGGCATTCCACTCTAGGATTTCCTCTTTAGCACATGGTCTGAGCAATAGAGCTAAGCTGTATTTTTATTCTATTTTAGCAAATTCATAATGAACACCATATCACAGAATGATTGAGGTTGGAATGGACCTCTGGAGGTCATCTAGTCCAACCTCCCTGCTCAAGCAGGGTCCTCTAGAGCACACCGCACAGGATTGCGTCCAGGGGGGTTTTGAATATCTCCAGCGAAGGAGACTCCACTACCTCGCTGGGCAACCTCTTCCAGGGCTCCGTCACCCTCACAGTGAAGAAGTTTTTTCTCAGGTTTAGATGGAACTTCCTGTGGTTCAGTTTGTGCCCGTTGCCTCTTGTCCTGTCACTGGGCACCACAGAGAAGAGGCTGGCCTCATCCTCTTGACACTCCCCCTTCAGATACTTGTACACGTT